AATAATTAGAAAAGGTATGAATCTACAATATAGTAGAAATGATAAATTGCAATGTAGACACATTTTCACAACATAATTTGCCATTTGCTATACAATTCAATGAGTCTTATAAAGGCTCTTGTATATATAGTAGTGCAAACTCACTTCCCAAATCAATGTGGGACAAAAATTACTTTTCCCCTTCATTTTTCTAATTCAAATTGGTCTATTTTAAGAATTAATTTCTCATTCACCCATTATCCGTTTTGAGCGTACAATATATCAATCTCTTCATTTCACTACAAAAAAAATTGAATCAACTTTAACTCAATGCAAATCAGAAGTGGACCTCACTAATAATTATACCACAAAATAGCCACTTATTATGCCATTAGCTATTTTTTCCAACAATTAATTAGTTGGTCAGGGTGACTCATATTTATAGGGAACAAAATGGTGTGACATATCAGATGTGCTAGTTAAGGGTGCTCTCTCCCATAGCCGAGGGTTACGGTGGTGTATAAGTGTACAACAGTCCACGAAGGGGTGTTATAAAAACTATTCAGGCGAATCTCTGTGGGAATGTTAGAACTCGAAGGGTGACTGTGGTGAATTGAGACATGATGTTGTGGGTCTTCCCCCTTCCTTCCAAATTAAAAAATAAAAACAAATTGTATATATCTTATTTACTATTTTTTGGTTAAACCAACTATTTTTCTTTGCTTATTTTCTTATTATTTTTAAATTTAATTTTGTTGTGCTTAGTACTTAGTAGTACTTTCAATGTAGCTTTTTAAATATATAGATTTTTTAAATTAATATTAAACATAATATTGTGAAAAATAAATTAATAAATAAATTCACTTAAATCGCACTAATCGAACTAGACACATCAAATAGAACAGAGAGATTAATAATTTAGTATAGCTAAAAATAACTTATACCTGTTTAACATAAAAAAACTTGGTATGTAACGGTTCAGTTTAGTTATTTCTTTTTCTATTTTACTTTATAAAAGAAAATTTATCATTTATATATATATTTTTTAATTGAACTAATGACCCACAAAGTGTATAGTGTTTGAAAATTTGGGAGAAGAACATTTTTATTCATCGAATATTCAGAATTTATCAATTTGATCCCCATTGTCAAAAGTTGTAGAAAATACCTCTAATTTTACAAGATTTTGATGGTTTGGTCATTCGTTATGGGTTACCGAGTATTTCTTTTCAAAACTAAGTTATTTTATCAAAAATAAAACACTCAAAAGCACTCAAACGTTCATAAAAAATCTAAATATTACTATCGTTTTCATTCGTCAAAACTTTGTAAAGCTCTCAATAGAAGCAATCTATTAGCCTTCTTAGTTTGAGTTGATCAGTTATGGACAACCTAAGTTTGTTTACTTCCTTGTGGTCCTTTGACAACTAGTGCCACAAGACGATGTTACCTAGTGAACACCATCAGGTAATAGTGATTACATATTTCTCTCGTCACGTACCAAAAAAATAAATTAAAAAAAAAAATCAAACTTTGTAAAGTTGGTACTATATTTGATAATTGGAAAAAAATGCAATTTAGTCCCTAAGTTATAGGAGATATGTAATTTTAGTTCATAATTAACAATGAGTTGAAATAAATACCTCCTAATTAGTCAACAATAATAATGTGGCACATTTTGGACGGAAAAATCACACGTGTTTCTGGCTTCAATTGTAATTACTCTTCAACTATTAACGATTTTGATTAATTCTCACATTATAGGTACCCTAAATCCGAACAAATACTTTTTTCTCTATCTAAAATTGACTAAATTGTTCACAAAGATCATCTCTAATGTGTAGTTGGAACTTACTGGATCAAAAAATAAATAAAAAATAAAAAAATAAAAAAATAAAACCAAATTATTTGAAAATTGTAATCTTTTAAATGGTAAGTTATGGTTTTTGCTCATAGCATTTACAATTTATCTTCAAAATTACATTTGGGCAAGAATCATTTACTGTACTCGATTGTAAAATGGGAGTACAATAGCAATCCTTCAATGAATTAGGAGACTATTGAACTGCAAAAATTGAGGGAAGGATAATTAAAATGACAGTTGGGCCCTGTTTAGTAACATAGTTAGCTTATCAGTCAATTTTAGCTTAATTGATCACTATTAGCTGGTTTATTTTTTTATTTTTGAAAAAATTAGCTGTTTTACTTGATTAAATATAATTGTTCTGATTTTCAAGGCTATCAAGATCGTTTCTGATCAAAGCCCTTGATTATTTGTTTCAATGGGGTGGGGTCGGCGGTGAGGAAGCGAATTCGTCAGCTGCTCCACCGGAAATCCACCAGATTCCAGTGATGGCTCAGCCGCACCATGGCCCCGACGAATACTGGTCAAAGATTTTCAGCCACCGAATGAAATGACAAAATATATATATATATATATATATATATATATATATATATATATATATATATATATATATATATATATATATATATATAGGATTATTTTCAAATACAAACACCCCTTAAAATATAAACCTCCCTTAAAATACAAACTGTGTGCATGTAAGTGTGATAATGTGTGCACGAGCTAATTTCAAATATTGTTGGCAGCGTGCCCAGTGTGCATTTAAGTATGTTAATGTGTGCATGGGCATTGATGGATGGTTGTGATTTTTCCTCCTACACGCTGTGTGCATGAAAGTATGTTAATGTGTGCACGAGCTTTGATGGATGATTGTGATTTTTCCTCCTACGCGTTATGTGCATGTAAGTATGTTAATCTGTGCATGAGCTAATCCCATAAATTGTTGAAAGTGCGCCATGTGTGCATGTAAGTATGTTAATGTGTGCACGAGTTCAAGTTTTTATTTTAAGGGGAGTTTGTATTTTAAGGGGGTTTGTATTTGAATGCAACCCTATATATATATATATATATATATATATATATATATATATATATATATATATATATATATATATATATGTATGTATGTATATATATGGCAAAAACCGCAATGTATTATATTATAGAAAAAAATTGAATTGTATAATACAAAGAATTTCTTTCTCTGCTTCTTATTTTTTATTTTTTATTTTTTGTGTATTTTGAAACGGTTCTGTATATTTTGAAAAATGATGTATATTTGTGAAAAAACTTTGTATTTTGTCGAAAAAAATTATGTGGTCATTAAATATATATATATATATATATATATATATATATATATATATATATATACACACACACACACTACCAATGCATAAAAGCATAAATATATAAATTCACAGAGGAACACATTTTATTTAGTATTTTTTTATTTGATTTTTTGTGTTTAATAGTATTTTATTGTTTTTTTAAAAAAAAATAATACTTTTATTGTCGTAGTTTCTAAATATATAAATTTTGTATACTAATATTAAACTTAATATTATGAAAAATTAAATTAAAAGTAATTTCAGTCAAGCTTCGTACGTTAACCAAATCAGACAAATAAAATAGTAGTGTACGTAGAACCTCTTTTCTTTTGAAGTGGACTACAAAATAAAAGAGGCAAGTCACCCTTTCTCAGAACATGCTTAGCTTTTCCTTCATGTGGATATATCTTTTTCTTCATTTTTCTTTTCCTTTGTCAAACTAACCAAGTTATAACAATGAAGTTTGATAGATTGTCAACTGAATATATTACATAAATAATATTACTATATTTTTGTACAGTTAATTGAAAAACTCTTAATAGGTTAAAAAAAAAAAAAAAAAAAAAAAAAAAAAAAAAAAAAACTCTTATAATTATAATAGTTGTGTAAAACCCACAAAATTAAAGTGAGTATGACCAATGCAACTCGGTCTTAATTAGTAAAAGGATCATAAATTATTTTTATAACTTTATCTGAATTTAGTAGAGAGAAAAATATTAATATCAAATGAGTAATGATAGTTTTTAAAAAAAAAAAAAAAAAAATTACCCTTAATATTTATTTCTTAACGTGACATTTTTTTTTTTTACTCACTTCCTTTTTATTTGACCTACTTTTCTTTTTATTCTGTTTCAAAAACTTTCCATTTGCCTAATTTTATTTATTTGTTTATTTATGGATGAAAATTAAAGGAGGTTAGGAGGGGAGACCCAAGGGAGTGGCAAAGACCACATACATCTTAGCTTCAAGCTCTTTCAAGAAGGCCAAACTACACTACACTTAATTCATTTTCTCTGAAACTCGCAACTACATACTACTCAAAAGTGTGCTTTTAGTAACTAAGAAGGCTGTAATTTGAACATGTGATCCTGTAGTTACAAGTTTATATCCTTAATCAAATTGCTGATGAACCCATTTTGTTTTGCTTCCTCTCTCATTTGTCTAATTTAAATATCACTAAATTTTTTACATTTCCCAACTTATCATTTATTCCTTTAAAAAGTTTCTATTTAGGTCCCAATACAACTTTTTCAAAAAGGGAAAATTTAGAAATATATTTATTTATTTTTTAAAAATCACACCAAACACAACTCTTGCTTAACTCATGATACTGTAGTTCGCCCGCATGGATAGCTCAGTTGATCACAGTGGTGAAATTTGGACACAATGATTCGGGATAGAGTCGGCAGTGTCCTCGGATGCTCTGTCGAACAGTAAGCTGTGGTCATCCTTCCATCTGCTTTGTCGGACAGGCGTAATTGGAAGCTAAGTGTAGGAAAGAAAAACAAAAATTTTCACATCAAATTGCAGGACAAGTGAAGCATGCCAAACCAACCAAGCAATTCCTTTTTTTTTTTCTTCCACTTGTATCTATGTGCATGATACCAATTTGGACTAAAATTTAGTTAATGGACCATTTCTAGTGCTCTCAACATCCCACGAGCCCCTAGCCCCTCTTCTTTCCATTTTTAAACTCACCCTTTTATCCTCATCATACCCCCCCAATCCCCATTCCCATTCTTCAATTATTTCTCCCCCTCCCCCCTCCCCCCTCCCAAACATTAACACTCCCAAATCTCCTCTTTTCATTCCATTCCACCATAATGGCTCTAGAAACTTGGCTCATCAAAGTAAAGAAGACCATAGCCCGTGCCACCGCGCCCCATCATCACGCACCGAAACCCACCATTATGGTCAAGAAATCCCCACAGATTGGCGTTTTGGCCTTCGAGATCTCCGGCCTCATGGCGAAGCTCCTCCACTTGTGGCAGTCCCTGTCGGACAAGAACGTCACGCGCCTCCGCGGTGACGCCGTGGCATTGGAGGGCGTCCGGAAGATCGTGTCCAACGATGATGGATTCCTCTTGGGGCTGGCCTGCGCGGAGTTGGTGGAGAATCTCAGGGTGGTGGCGAAATCGGTGGCGAGAATTGGCCGGAAATGCGACGACCCAAAGCTCCGGTCGTTTGAGCGGTTGTTGAACGAGTTCGCTAACTCCGGCAAGGACCCTCACGGCATGGTTGTTGGGTGGAAAGAAATGGAGGCCAAGATCAAGAAGATGGACCGGTACGTGAGCTCCACCGCTCTGCTTCACAAGCAAATGGACGAGCTTTCCGGCGTCGAGAATAGCCTCAAGAAGGCCAAGGCGGCGGCGGCGGCGGCGAAGGACCTCGAGAGCTCCGGTAGAGAAAAAAGGCTCATCGATCTCCACCAAAAGCTTCAATGGCAGAAACAACAAATCAAATATCTCAAAGAGAAATCCCTCTGGTCTAAAACATTCGACACCGTCACATTACTACTAGCCCGCTCCATTTTCACGACGCTATCGAGGATCAAAATCGTGTTCGGAATCAACAATTACCCCTCCACGCTCCCCCGGAGCCTCTCCGCTTCCGCTACCGTCCACCCGTCGGAAAATCCCCCACCCCCACCACCCTTCGTCTCCGGGCCGTTAGTCCAAGAACCCGACTACCCTTCACCCAATAAATTCTTCTCATGGAATTCCGACATCCTAAAACCTCCGGCGACCACCCTAGGCGCGGCGGCGCTGGCTCTACACTACGCCAATCTTATAATCGTCATGGAAAAGATGATCCGGTCGCCGCAGCTCGTCGGAGTCGACGCCCGGGACGATTTATACTCAATGTTACCCAACAGTATCCGGTCGTCGCTCCGGGCGAGGCTAAAAGGGGTGGGATTCTCTGCCACCGACCCGGCGCTGGCCGGAGAGTGGCGAGACGCGCTGCAGAAGATACTGGGATGGCTATCGCCATTGGCACACAACATGATCAAATGGCAGAGCGAGAGGAGCTTCGAGCACCAAAACCTCTTGCCCAAGACCAACGTTCTCTTGCTCCAAACCTTATTTTTCGCGAACCAGGAGAAGACCGAAGCCGCCATTACCGAGCTTCTGGTCGGCCTCAATTACATCTGGAGATTTGAAAGGGAGATGAATGCTAAAGCCCTATTCGAATGCACAAACTTCAACACCTTCTTGAATTTGCAAGAATTCAAATAATAATTATTGGTCTCAGTGGTTTAGTAGGCACTATCTGGAAGAACAGATCGAAATTAGAAATTTAGTAACTACAGTGTGGAGATTATATCTAAAGTGGACAGATCCCCGTCAATGAGTTACCATGGCTGATGAAGAAAAAATCAAGTAATAATTTTTTTTTAATTTAATTTTTATTTTTGGTATATCATTGCAATTAAGAATCTAGAGATTGAGAATCCTCTTCTAGATCTAAAGAGGGTTATGTTTTGGCTCTAACCCTGCCGGTATAAGTGTATATTGTAATTTATTATCTTTGGTCATATAATATATATGTGTATGTATGATATGATGGGATTGGGTCAAAACTTCATTTCATGATTTCAAAGTCGATCATGTGAACTTATTCTTGTAGTTGCTATATATTATGATGGTACCACATGGATCCACTTAATTTGATTAAGGCATACCAAATAATTTCTTGATATGCACATGAATCAACCTTGATTATGTTAATTAGAATAATAATTTCAAATATAATAAATATGAGTGTGATGGGCAGTTGGATTATAATTGTCATTTAATATCTTGGTCACTTTTTTTTTTTTTTTTTTTTTTTGGTTTATGAGTGTGATTTAGTTGAGGAGAATTTAATCAAATTTCCTCCCACTTTGGATACTCCATGAACCACATATTCTTTTGATATTTCTGGTTAGGTTGCAAATGCATATTCACATGATCCAATAATAACTAACTATATTGGTATGAAAAAAAAAAGTTTTAAAAATGCTATTTTTCATGGACAGATCAGATGATTCAGTAATTAATAAAATAAATGTTGGGCGGAGCCAGTAAAGGGGTTATGTCTAGTATCCAGTGGCTGAGGGATTGTTGGGCTAGTAATATTACATGTACTCCCACTTCCTACTCCATTTTGTACTCTTTGCTGAATTGTCATTATTTGATTGGTTTAAATAACAAAGTAGGCCACTGTTTTTCTTCACTCACTTGAACTTATTGGTACACGTGACGGGAGTTTATACTCCATGGGAATACATATATCATTTTCCTTGTTGGGCGGAGGTCGGTAAAGCCTCTAAGGGCCAAGTCTAGCACCCAGCCTATCTCGAACAATGTAATGATGGTTTATAAGTAAGGAAATAAGTTGCGCATTCGCTACTAGCTATAGCTTTTGGCCTGAGTGGTAAGTGCTTGATCCTAATAAATGTATCAGAGCCAAGTCACTGGTTTGATTCAATTTCTAGTTTTTTTTATCAAAAAAATGATCAGAGGTGATGAAGACTCATTGTGTGCAGAATGTACAGGTAGATCAGAGGTGATGAAGACTCATTGTGTGCAGAATGTACAGGTAGATCAGAGGTGTCAAACATCCTCATAAACATGTCATGCTTAATGTTTTGGGCGAATTTAAATGGATGGATGAAATTGTATGAAAGTGTGGAAATTGAATTGGAAGGAAAATTGAGTAGTCTTAATGAGCTGACTATAACTACTGCATTTCACTGTCAAATATCCCAAATGCCATATGGCCATACACTTCTTATTGGGGCCTAAGAAATCATTACTACAACTTCAAAATGCATGAGGACAAGAAATGTTTTCTTAATAAATAATGCTAGTAGAAGATAGATGAGATCATGAGAAGCCATGGCCATGATTTCAGTATATGAGGTTGGCCCTACTTTCTAGAATTTTTTTTTTGAAATTTTTTTTTCCAAAGAATGCAATAACATACCTTTTTCAATTGGTGGATACATAATATTTAGCTAGCTCCCAGGCCAGCTGATATTTGGGGTAACAATGTGACAGCAACCCATATTATTCCATATTTTCTCCACACTACTTTGCCTGCTCTTTGTTTGCCCTTAATATAATGGTGTTGCTTTAAAATTTAGAAGAAAAAATAAATAAAAACTCAACTGAACATGAACCACATAGGCTAGACCTTTACCTAAGGAGCCCCCAACTGAACATGAACCACATGCTAGACTTTTACTTATTGCGCACAAGGAGCCCCCCACTTTGAGTGAGACTCGATCCCTGGTCATTCTTTCCAACTTTCACTTCTATGACCAGTTGAGCTGCCCATGCGGGCAAAAAAATTATAGTTTCATGCTAGGATGGGGTCATGATAATTATATTTCCATCCAAACATTTAACATTCATTCGATCATAAAGTTTATCGACTGATATTAAATAAATTTAACACACTTCATAATCAAATAGACCATATATAGGTGCTAGCTAGTAATGTTTAGTAAACTGTATCAGGGGATCACTTATTCTGTGACTGCTTTTGACTTACAAAGTTCTTTGGCGGCTATATATCTAATTGTCATATTCTAGGTGGACATTAACCAAGTAATAAGTAGGTGAACATTAACCATTTAATCACATCCCTCCATAGTAAGTCACAACGCCACGTTTCAAATCAAGTAGGAGCTGAACTCGATCAATCCAACTGCCCAACATGTATAATCAACTTTTATGATTTGAATAGACTAATAAGGAACTCAATATTCAATACATTCATTAGAGCATCCACATTGGTTGGGAAGAATGGGGAGATAATGTAAGAGTGATTAGGAAAGAGAGTGTGGGAGAGGAGTGAAAAAAAAAAAAAGAAAAAACAAAACAAAACAAAAATTAAAAAAAAAAGAAAGTAGTCAGACGCGTCAGGCGCGCCGACTGGCGCGCCTGACGCGCCTCCGGGCGCGTGCAGTGCACGCGCCCGGCTTTTGCCCAAGGCTGTGCGCGAACGCGCACAGCCTTGCTTCTTCTTCTTTCTCTTTTTTTTTTTTTTTTTTTTTTTTTTCTGACAATCTCCCTACATTTGCAGGGAGATTATTTCTCAATTATCCCATGTCCACACTAGCTATTATCTCAATAAGGGAAGAATTAATGCTGAATTATCTCAACAATATCCACAAGTGTGGATGCTCTTACCTCTATTCTAAAAAGTCTTTAGCTTTTTAGGTTCTGAAAGGTTGCATACGCATCTTTAATTTCCTCATTGGTTCTTTAATTTCCGCGCTTTTTAGTTATATTTCTAGTCTATACATGGAGGTAATCAATCCCCATCAACCCTAGCTAACATCTAACTTTATAGGCAACCGATACCATGAGAGATCTCATACTTCAATTCGTTATAAAGTGATACAATATTTTCTCTTAATTAGAATACTTCTTAACATTTTTTTTTTTTTTTTTTTGAAACATCTTAACATTTGTTGTGCACCGTGTCATTGCAAGATTGTTGCCTTTAGAACCAACTATCAATCGTTATGTTGTGCAACCGTGTGCACCATGCAGTTGCAAAAATGACGTCGTTTTGACTAAAAACGCGCATCCTGCTTAAAAAAAAAAAAAAATCAGTTTTGATTCCCGTAAAAAAAAAAAAGTTCATTCATTCTGGATATTTAGTTCATTCATTCTGGATATTTAGACGGAAATCAACACTAATTTTTTTTCATTCATGTTGGATATTTAGTTCATTCATTCTGAATTTTTAGTTCATTATATTCATTCTGGATATTTAGTTCATTCATTTTGGATATATAGTTCAAATTATGCACAACATAATGTTATTGCCAGGAATCGAAACTGAAATTTTTTTTTAAGTGGGACGCGTGTTTTTAGTCAAAACGACATCGTTTTTGTAACTATATGCACCATGCATGGTGCACAAACTGCATACGATTGTACAACATAATTATACCCACAACCTCTTGGAAAATATAGGGCCCCCTGTTAGGGGCAAATTATTACATAATTTGGGTCTAAAAATACACAATTTACATATTGAATATTCACAATTTACGTACAGAACACTAATAAGGATGTCAATTGTAGGCTGAAATCGATATGTTGGTCTGATAAGACTGAAAACTTTGTGAATTGAGGCCTAAAAATTAAACCAACAAGAAAATCAAGTTAATCGGGCCAGTCTTTTTGGACTATGAAGCTGTGTGAGCTAGCATGGCAATTTATATCCTGCACCACGACGCGAGTTGCACTGTGCGCCCAGATGCAAAACGACGTCGTTTTAATTTTTTTTTTTTTTTTTTTAATTTCCCGCCCCAGTGAATGGCAGTAATTTTTTCTTTAAAAAAAAACTTGCTGTTCAAAAATGTACATAATGTTATACTAGAATATACAATTGTATACATGAATGTACATAATTATATAACAAAATATACATACTCTTTTTAAAAGATAATACACATAATCTAACATAATACATAATAAACATAAACTTTTAACATAATACACATCAACTCTTAACATAATACACACAAATTTTCTGATTCGAATGTACATAATTGTATAAAAAGAATGTACATAATTGTATAAAAAATGTAGATAACTGTATGAACAAATACACATAATTGTGTGAACAAATACACATAATCATAGCAACTTCCTACCGCGCATCCCAAAACGACGTCGTTTTGGGAGGCGCGCAGCGCACAGTGCTACGCGCGCCGTGGTGTAGGGTATAACGATTGACTTTTAACATCTAACTAACGATAAGTTCACGGATTGACTAATGGTGATACTATTTTGTTTATTTCGTCCAAATTTGAAAAATCAACATAGTCAGAGGACCATTGCTGGAATTAACTCTTTAATTAACTTAGTAAATAATATTTTAATAAATTTATTACAAAATAAAATACTTTTAATGAAAATAAATAAGATTAAAAAAAACAAATTATAATTATTACATTATGGTGTAAATATATTAATTATTTTTAGATATGGAAGTTTATATTGATTGAATAATGTATAAATTTATAGTTATTAGTGTAAATGAACTCGTTTATTAAAATTTAAAATTTAAAATGTTAATTTAAAAATATCAAAAGTTTTAATTAAGCCAGCCAAACAACCGGATGTCTTAAGGTTAGGACTGAATTTTTAATCCAGTCCAACCAAAAATCAAGCGTGCTAGCCTAATTGATACCCATATATATATAATTTATTAACTAAATGTACATCATATATTAACTATGTCATTTTGGACGACAATCTACAATGTAAAATAGGAATTGGGAAGGCTTAGTGTAAGCATGGAGTCCATCTGTCCATGTACACTATATATAATGCTTCAACAGCGACCTAACACTAGAATAATTTCGATACCAAAATAACACATTTGAAATTTAGTTCTAACAACCAAATATTTTTCCAATGAAACATGCAACTGAATGCACACCAAAAGCGTCCAATATACACAAATCTTTGTGTACAGAAACGATACAAATCCTAAACCAATAGCTGAAAAATGGTAAGAAAGCGTATAGAAGAGAGGGACCAACAACAACAAAAGCATTACCGATGAGGATCAGTACCCTGTCCGGCCATCCCCAATGGATTTCACCCGAAAAAAAACCAAAAAATTGATATTAAGTTCTTCCAACACTGCAATCACTGAAAGTCTATGAGATAGATGGTTCCAAAATTAACTCTAGCTTCTCTGCTTCACTGAGATTAAAAATAGTGCAACACTCCTCGTCTGGGTTCGAGATTAACTCTACCTCCTCTGCATCACTGAGACAGACACTAATGCAACTCTCCTCATCTTCATCTCGAACCCAGTATTTGCTGAAATGTTTGACCCTAAACCTCCATTCTCCTTTGATTGGATCAAAGGACAAAAATTCAGCACCTTGATCCACTGCCTTACTTATAAGCACCTTTTTATACCTCTCAACTATTGGCCCATCAGTGAAGTGACGCCCAGTCTTCTTGTCATGACATTTTATGTTGAGGAGTGTAACCTCAGCAGGTTTGTTAAGACCTTGTCCAACAGGTGGTTTTTTGCTCTCATCCATGTACACTTCTACCTCCCGATTGTTGAATTGAACAATAGACTCCAGATCAAGCCTTCGTACATCTGTTTCCCCAATGAATTTTATGCTACCAAAGCCATGCCTTCCCACAATGAAATCTTTCACGCGACGGCAAAACCCAGGTTCAGCCCTTTCCTTTGCTGCCAGCTCTTGGATCCGAGGCTCAGTGTAATAATCTGACTGCCTTAGCTTTGGCATCAGTGCCTCAATGTCAGCCCCATGTTCATATACAATGGCTGCTTCACCAGCTCGGTGGCCAGTAAGAGTAATGGAAGAGCCTCCTTTTTGCCCTGAATTGCCATCTTGGACAACACTAGTTTTCTGGTTCAGTTTAAGAGCTACGGTTTCTTTATTGCTGCCGTTCTCAGTAAAACCATCTGCACAACAGGTCCCAGTAAAACAAATTAGGCGTATTTATTATTTAACGGACTTCATTATTGGTGTCATTTTTCAGTAAAACCCTCTATGCAACAGCTACCAAGATAACCAAATTAGGCATAATAGTTTGAATTACTCACTTTTGGTTCATTGACTATAGTGACATTTCCAATTTTAGTCCATCAATTTAACCAAATTTAGTCCTTTGACTTTTTGGACAATTCACCAAACTTCACCCTTTTGCCTAAACTTTTTGGACATTGAAGTAAAAAATGCTTCCACTTTATGGACATCCAAATATCATCCTTTTAGTCAATTCAAAAAGACAGGCAACTAAATTCCATCAAATTAGTAGACAACTAAAAGTGAAAATGCACTATAATTGACGGACCAAAAGCAGTATTAACACTAACAGTTTTATAATGATAGTTTTAACAAATTATTTCAAAATCATATTTTCCAGCAAAATGCAGAATTTGGAATCTGCAATTGCAAGAAGGTATTTAGAAGTTCATTCAAGCCTTAGATAGCATTAATATAATGAAAGAAGTTTAATTTTCATGTGTTTTGTATATAGTATTGCTTGTTACCAGCCACAGGATAATCTAACCCAATTAATCTCTATTTTAATGTATTCATAAAGTGTGCCCCTATTTTGGTGGGACATTCAAATATCATTGATAGTAAGATATAACCAGAAAAAATTATCCCAATGCTCCAGCAAGCAAACAAAATAGGTAGAGTAGGTGACCATTCATGCATCATTTCTCATTGTACATAGTAAATTCTGAAGACTTACCAAGATGAACTAAAATTATATATCACACATGCACTTCTAGTATCTGCATTACATAAATTTATACCTATATGGCCTAGCCTCAGGAATCTGTAATAATTACACCCTCCCCTACTAAAAATTATTATACAGGCTACAGATGAAGCCCTCTTTATTCATTTGTGGTTAAGCAGAACTGGGTTGATTTCATATTAAAACTGGATAAATTAACTTCCCAGGTGTATATCAAAGGTCCTTTTTCACTCTCCTAGGTAAGCTAGTGTAGCCTGCAACTAAAACCCCTTGGACTATCAATACACTCAGCAGAGACTTCAGTTGAGAACAGATGGCAAAAAACTGAACTGTTTGCAAGGGGAACTTAAACAAAATACTAGTCCAGAACAAGTCAACGGCCATTTGTATCAGATAAAGTGCATATGCACAGCTAGGTTTTCCAATGAAAGGCACTAGATTGACTGATTTTGCAGCTAAGCTAATACTTTGCAATAACCTATGATAGATCAAGCCCACTCCAAAATTCTAGATGGTAAAAAACAACACTGATCCTAATCCCATATTCATCATATTATTTACCTAACATATTAGATCATAAAGAGTTACAGCATGCTATAACAAAAAGCACATGAAAAATCAATTAAATCCAATAACTTACTTTCTTTATCTCCCTTGCAGACCCCATTAGCAAGAGGAGCAGATGTGTCTTCAAGGACTTTGCCTGGATATGGAGAAAGAATGATTACCTAAAATCAGCCACATGAACTAACACAAACTAAATATAAAATAAAAAACCGGAACATGAAATTAGTGGATAAAATATAAGCTTGAAAGAAATTGAAGTTTAGATAACATGCACCCTTACGTATATAACAGATACATTATTGTAAAGTACGTGAAAGCAGAAAAGCAAACATGTAAGGTAAGACGCAACAGGCCAATAAGATCAGCACATTTTTTTAATACAGTTGATAAAGTAAGCCAAAAACAATCTAGAAATTATTATTTAAAAAATACAAAAATATAAACATATCAGCGATCCCATGCCTTGCAAACCATCAAGACCGCAAGAAGAAAGATGGAATATGATATAACACAGATAAAATGATTTCAGTGGAACAGTTATTTTTTTAAAACCAAACTAACTTATGCAAAGATTCCAGTTAGCCTGCAAATAACTTATCACAGCAATTACGAAACTGATAGGAGGCAAGTACTTTTCAGCAAAAAAAATACTAAATAAAATTGGTGAAATAAGAAACAGGTTTAACAGTCCACCATTATAACCAAGATTTCTGCAGAATGTCAGCACATTATAGTTATCAAACTAGTCAGATGCTTTATTCCAGCCCCTGGATTATTTTTAGAGTTCTCACTCTTACCCAGAGGCTCCTAGCTTAAAAGAAAGGAGAAATATCCAAGCAGCAACTTACCATTCTCTTCAGCTACAGAACATAGGTACTTTGTTGGGGATGGTTTCTCCATACTTGCTTTAGAAGGCCACTGCTCCAATGGACGAATTATCAGAGCTCTTGGATTCTCCCTGGGAACAAAGAAAGCATCTGCTTTTGGTGTGCTAGTTGTTTCTTCGTCATCAGTAAAGAACGGCACCTAGGAAAAAGATTTAGTAAACAAAATTAACATTCAAGTCTCAATCAGCAGAGACAGCACTGTAATAATGGGTCCTTATAGAATGAAAACAAAAGATTGCAACCATTCTACCTTTTGCCCTTCAGGTTTGGGATAATATTTCCTTGCAGGCAACCTAACCCGTCTTTGAGAAAGGTGACGAGAAGTCAATAATGATGAGATCCTGACTGGAGCAGGTTTGTCTACAACCTGTTTTTGAAAAAGGTTTTATCAAATCTACTTTTAAGTACATAAAAAGGTCTTTAAAAAACTAACACGGGGCAGAAAAGGTATTATACAATTAACTGATAACTTAATCTAGTCTAATTATATACACCGCAATTGTTCATATTTTTTGCATACTTACAGGCAGGCTAGAAATCCCATACTGTATAGAAGGAGAATTGCCTGTGCGACCAATTGACATCTGAGGCATTGCAGGCAAAGTTCCAAAAGGATTACTCAGAGGAGCTGGTTGTAAAACCAATGCGTTTTGGGTGGCTGACCTGTAGCAGAAATGAATGAAAATCATTTTCAGTCCAAATTAATCAAGCATGGAGATTTAATCCCAGGAAAGAGAAACAACTATGAATAGGTTCAAAAAGCACAAATAATTGTTAAACTTCAACATAATGTTTTCCTTGTTAATTAGAAACTGAACAAATTGTAATAAGAAAACTACTTCTAAAGGTGTCTGTAATAAGAAAACTACTTCTAAAGGTGCCCATATGATGCCAAAAGAAGAATAATAATAGAAGCCCAAAAGCACATTATATTACAATGACAAGGATAGGTAGAACCTACCTAAAATTTTATGGATTCTGACCCCTAATTTTCTTGCATAGGGAAGAAAATCAATTGAAAGCCAGAAAACTAGCACTTGAAAGTTCAAAGAAGCACAGTTTCAAAATGATGATTCTTGAAAAAGGAGCTACTATAAAGCCTAAAAAATGATATCAGCTACCACCATCAGATATTTCAAAAATCACTGTTTCCTTTTATTTTATCCTTTCTTTAGTTGGCATGGGAGCCATACATGTAGCAGTAAAAAAAGGATTCTTCAAGTAATAATAAAGAAGAGTTTCGACATACGGCTGAAGAAAATTGCTCTGGCCAAACGCATTTGCTGTCCCAAAACTATTTGCAGCAGCTGTAAAGGAACCCAGAAAAAAAAAAAAAAAAAACAAAAAAAACACATCAGTACTGATAACAACATCCAATCCAAGGCAATTCAATAGAAGTACTTTAAAGACTCAAAATTTCTAGATACCTCCTTGTGTCTGACCAAAGTTACCAAAGCCAAAAGCTGTATTCTGGGAGGCCTGAGTGGGTTGAAAGGGAGTTGAAAGAGAGGGCTGTCCAAAAGAGGGGAAAAACAAGTTTAAAAACCAGCAAACTTGTGTGCAAGAGAAAGATGAATGTAAGAAATATACAATTTGCATAATCACAGGTAAAGAGTCAGAGACCAAAAATGAAATTGGACACCAAGACTCTGTGTATGGCTAACTTACTGTTGTTTGACCAAATCCCAGTTGATTGCTTGTAGTTTGCAGTGGAGTGCTTGGAAATAAGTTCCCACCAAAACCAGTTGATGGTGTATTAAATAGACTTGGTTGACCAAAAGCTGATGTACTCTGCCCAAAGGATGAGGTAGTCTGACCAAATGCTGCACCTGTCTGTCCAAACGCTGATCCAGTCTGCCCAAACGAAGGTGTAGTTGACTGGAATAATGGTGATGATTGAGTATTGAAACTTAAGCTAGAACCAAATGTTGGGTTTGTTGTTTGAGCTGATGTTGAACCAAAAATTGATGTTGAAGGTCCAAAAGCAGATGAGCTCGATTGTCCAAAAAGAGAAGGAGTGGTGTTTGCTGCAAATGTGGAAGCACTTGAACCAAATAAAGAAGGAGTTGTCAATGACGTTGACCCAAACAGATTTGACGTAGTTGAAGCTCCGAAGGCTGAAGAACTAAATGCCGGAGTACTTGAGACTCCAAACCCTGGACTCCCAAATGCAGGTTTTGGGGCAAATGGACTAGAAGATGTAGTGGATGAAAATGGATTGGCGGATGACTGACCAAATGGGGAAGTTGATGAGGTCCCAAATGCAGAAGTAGCAAAGTTGATCCCTCCAGTAGACTGAGCTGCTGGAGCTGGCCCTCCTGAAATTATTAGGTTAAAAAAAGGAAATCAGTACCATGGAACACTACCAGCTTTTCAGTCATTTTAACCTTTCTAGATAAATAGTACCTTTGTCTCCCGCCTGGTAATCCTCAAACCTAAGTTCCTCATGACTTTTGTCTTTATACACTGGCATTGCTGAAATTGACTCTAGTTTCCCAGCAGTCTGTGTACCACTATCTGCCTCAGGTGTCGGTTGGTAAGGAGCCACTCTAGATCCCCGGGGTTGACCTGAAAAAGAAGAGGTTCCAAAAGCTGGAGTAGAAGTTGAGGCACCTGCATGTTATTATGTTATGTAAATGTTAGTAAGAGTATATGGGGACAACCAATTCAGGGAGCTTTAGCTTTGAGATAAAATAAAATCTTAATCTGTCATGCACGTATAAAATAAGTTAAAAATCTCACCAAATGCAGCACTTTGAGTGCCAAAGGGTGACGGTGTTGTGTTGAAAGGAGTGCTGCCAAATGCAGATGTTGATTGGCCAAAAGCAGGAGCAGATCCAAAATTAAAGGGAGTACTTGAAGTACCAAAAGCCTGAGATGTTGTAGAGCCAAATGCGGGAGTGGTGGTAGCACCAAACGCAGGGGTGCTTGTAGCACCAAAGGCAGGTGTGGTAGAAGTACCAAACGCTGGTGTTGTTGAACCAAAGACAGGGGAACTTGAAACACCAAAGGGACTGCCCGTGCTACCAAAAGTTGGGCTTGCCGTTGTACCAAAGGCCGGTGTACTTGAAACTCCAAATGCCGGTGTACTTGTTGCACCAAAAGCAGGGGTACTTGACGAACCAAATGTAGGGGTGCTAGGAGTACCAAATGCAGGTTGACTTTGTGCTCCAAACGGTGTGGATGAACCAAATACATTGCTCCCAAATGCAGGTTGAGATTGCTGAAAGGAGCCTCCAAAAGGACTTGATTGGGGAGTGCTTGAACCAAATGCACCAAAAGCAGGTTTTTGCCCAAATATGGAAGTACCTTCATAATCAAATGCAAAATAAATGAAGTTTATTGAATCATATTTTAAGGCATCTAAACAGAAGGCATAGATCAATTGACACCCTAATTATGGCACTCAAAAATTTAAAATTTAAATGCCAAATTAAGAAAAAGGTTGAGACACAGTCAAATAGCACAAACATTTGATCCCGTTCACAGATTGAATGCAAACACAATAAAAAGTTGAAAGAAACGATAAAAATGTTCTGTTCAAAACTAATTCACATCTATTCAGACTATTACCTCCATAAATACTTCTTATAGTCTCATTTTAGAAATCTATATTCTTACAAGCCAAATATTAGACATCTTAATTAATATTCATTTTTTTGAATATTAATATTCATAGTTAAAGTTAAATAGCACTCATAATCAATGTTGAAAAAGACGCTAGGCGCCTGATTTATTTTATTATATATATATTTTTTAAATTAAACATTAGTTGAGACTTGAGACATTAGTGCATGACTACTAAAGACTATAGTGCTGTTCCCAATTCCCAACAAGCCTTTAGCCTTGAGATACAAACTTATGACTGTAGTGTTGTACCGATGTTCCCAAATCCCAAATCTCTCTCAACACTCAACCGTCGCAACCTTTGTACTCCGAAATTTATATCAACACTCAACCGTCTCAAAGCATCTCTCTAATTCTCTCAACACTCAACAGCCTGAAGTCTTTCCCATCTACCCCTGAGCCGGCGACCAGCTGAGGAGCGTGGTCGCATGGGTGACGCTTCAGAGGGGCGTGGTTGGCAACTGACGGACGAAGGCGGCGACCGGTGGAGGGGCGTGGGGTGGCGGAGGCACTTTGGCAGACTGCAGATTGGCATGGGGTGTCACCGTGTAGGAGACTGCTTCTAACTTCTTACTTCTGAGTTTCTGTAGTCGCGATTCTTCGTGAAGAGAGAGAGAGAGAGACGGATCGGCCGGCTAGGCGGTCTAGGCCCACCCCCTAGCCGGCCAGCCGCGGAGGAAGCCGATTCTGGCCTTCCTCGACGGGGCCAGGATTAATCGGTGCCTGGGCGCGATTTTTGCAACCCTGCCCATTATACCTCTACTTCAAATTTATTTAAATTATATTAGACAAACAAGACGTCTTCCTATGTCCATACATTGATTATTTAGGCAAACAATAAGCATCAATAGTACAATTGAATACAAAACATGTTTAGCCTCTTTGAATTATCAATCACTATTTGGCTGAATTATAGTTTTAAAAAATAAAACAAAAATATAATAATTTCAAATAATAAATTGAGTTTGAATTATTTCACAAACAAGAAAGTAATTACATATTTGAATATTAGAATTACTATTATAATTATTATTTTACAAAAATGTAGAGAATAAGTTTGATACGCTTTTCAAACTAAATAAGAATATATGACCCAGAATAGTGACTATTAAAATATTTAAAAGTATTATTTATTAAGTTGAAGACCATATATATTCAATCTATCAATTTCAAATGCATATACTTCATTCCAATTTCCAAACATATATGAAATTTATCACAAAATGGAACTATTCAAACTTTTAAATGTATAACAGGTCTATCTATAACATCAACTGTATATATATATATATATATATATATATATATATATATATATATATAATGTAGTTCCACTCAGGGATCATTCTACTATTCTAGTACAACCTATAAAAGAGCCCTATTCTATCAGGATTCAGCAAAATTGGCATCAATCTTCATTGTCACCATTCATTAACTTTTCCATTACTTTTCAGCAAACAAACCCAAATCCTATGTGATGTATCTAAGAAGTATTTTTACAGACAGTAGCACTTAAAGCCTACATGACTAATCATATTGAATGAACAAGATGCCTTGAGATGGGCGGAAAGTTAAAGTTCACGATTTTGTTTTTATATATAGAATAGATTATAATAGCAATTGTATTACACTATTTTATAATAATAGAATAGAAATTTTAACCTAGAATTATAGTACAAATAGGAAAATAGAAAACAATGTATTTTTATTAGAAAGATAAATTTTCTAGGAATTGGGCAGGAATTTAAAGTTCAGGATTTTGTTTTTATATATAGTATAGAGTATAGATATAGATTAGAATAGGAATTGTATTACACTATTTTATAATATTAGAATAGAAATTTTAACATAGAATTATAGTACGAATATGAAAGTAGAAAACAATATATTTTATTAGAAAGGGGGATTTTTTTAGGAATTAGGCGGGAAGTTAAAGTTCACGATTTTGTTTTTATATATAGTATAGATTAGAATAGGAATTTTAACCTAGAATTATAGTACGAATAGGAAAATAGAGAACAATATATTTTGATTAGAAAGAGAGATTTTTTAAAAAATTGGGCGGTAAGTTAAAGTTCAGGATTTTGTTTTTATATATAGAATAGATAGATTAATCAATTCCGTATAGCAATTATTTTAAAACCTTTAAATGTTGACAAATTAATATCAAACATTTGTATTTTGTAATAATTATAATATCCAATCTAACAAAGAATCCAATATAACCCGAATTCTTGAGTTTGCACACAAATTATTTCAAAAATTACAATATAACATCATTCTTTTAGAAACATAACTTATTAAAATATCTACTTTATACAACTAAAGTTCCAAATTAAGCTCTTCAAAGAAAATTCTACATATATAAAAAGCATGTTCAAAAATTATAGCCACCAATTAATACCTAGATCAAGAGAATTAATTGTTTTTAGGGTTAGATACCATTCCTCAGTATAATTGTCACAAAATAATGTTTGGGTTCTTTGCGCCTAAGCCTTATTTTAACAATACAACTTGATAATTGGAAAGAAAATAAAAATAGAATTGCAATTTCAATACTGTACATTTACAAATACTTACTGCCAAATGATGAGGATGAACTGCCAAATGCAGGAGTTGATGAAGCTCCAAATGTAGGTGTCGTGCTTCCAAAAGCAGGAGAAGATGCACCAAAAACTGGAGTGGAACCTAAAGGCGAAGAGGACTGGGTTGCTCCAAAAACACCAGTAGATGTGCCACCAAAAATATTAGTCCCGGTTTGAGATCCAAAAGGGGTTGTACCACCAAAAGGCTTAGGTGCAAATGGATTGTTGTTTGTCTGCCCAAAAACTGGTTGTGAGCCAAATGGGCTGCTGGATGACTGCCCAAAAGCTGTTGCATTGACCAAAAATCATTCAGTACACTTGGAAAGAAGAGATTCTCATTTGCATCTATGTGGTGGAAGGGCTAGGGATGGAAATCATAAGAGTCGCACCTTATTTGATTTGTGTGTGTGTGTGTGTGTGTGTTAAGAAATTTTGAATATATAGAAATATGGAAGTGAACTCATTTCTGGATAATGGCATTCCCTATGAAATCAGAAAACCATAAGGACTAACAGAAGCTGATAAAATTTGCATTTCTAGTGAGGAGGAAAAAGAAGAACAACTACTAGGTACAATAATAGATTTCACCTTTTTAAGCTCAAACCTAATTAAAAACCAAAACTAACAAATAAATAAATAAATAAATATATATATATATATATATATATATATATGAACAGCTAAGTTGTTTGTTGTGTAAAAAATGATAATACAAATGCAGCACTTACGGTTCGTTGATCCAAACATCGTTCCGCTTGAATCCTATCCAGCAGCAATTTGGATCCAATGCTAAACTACAACGGGAACAAAATGCAGATTAGTGGCGATTTATATGGCCAGAAAAGAAATACATCGTGCTAAGAGAACACAAATATCTTATCTTACTATATAAAAAAACCACAAGCATTGGGAATCACGTTAGAGCCAAAAAAATCCCGCCTACTAAAAACACAGTCGTTTAGTATTTGTATAGAAATAGAGTTCTAAAGACACTATTATACAGTTGCCCTGTGATAGCCGACTTTGGTATCCTAAATCATACATGTTTTCCGATGAGCATTAATTACATAAATTCATTCGAAGAAAACTGTTAGTATTCCAATGTCACGCCCTCATGCCACACATTAAATAGCCAAAGAATCCATGAAACTCTTTACAGAGTCTTATAAAACCCTCTCTAATATCTTCCCAGAACTTCCGCAATAATAGGAAAAAAGAGGAAGCCACAACCTACACCAAATCCAGGTATTAGAACTTTCTTAACTGCAGTAAGCATCATATTTCATTATCATCATGTGCAAATAACTCAACCAATGTGTTAATGACAAACATATATGCAAAAGAAAATTAAAAATTATAGAAGTATTTTTGAAAGCAATGTAAATCTTATCATATGATATCACATGAAAAGGCATTCATTGAGTTCTATTACTGTTACTGTTAAAACGGTAAACACTCAGAAATTAAATTTTATAAGCATCTAAAGCCTCTTCTATAAACTTAGTGTTCTAGATGACTGGTAGTTTATATAACAGTGTAAAAATGTGTTCTATAACAGGCTTACCAAGTGATAGGCATCACGAAACAGCTAATAGCTTACAAATACCAAACGAAAAAATGTATTTGTTAGGCAGAAATAGAATAAGCAAATAACAGAGAATGTAATTTCGAACTAAATTACCAGTATTGCCTAACTTAGTCGCTAGAGTAAACCTATCAACCAGATTCGCAAAACTCAACATACGAACTATATTTTTTAATTCACAAAAAAAAAAAAAAAAAAAAAAAAAAAAAAAAAAAAAAAAACCAGATTCGCATAATATATTCTTGCCCACCGCTTCTCACCCCTCTAATTCTTGCCTTCTGCCGTCTCCAATCACCAGATCTTCATCCTCTGCTTCTCGTCTTTTTCTTCGCCGTCTTCGCTTCAAAATTGCCGTTTATTTTCGCTGCTTCGCATCGTTCGCAGAGGAAATTGGGTAGGGATTGGGAATGGGTTGTGGGTAAGTGGGTTTGGGTATTTGTGGGTAAGTGGGTTTGGGTATTTGTGGGTAAGTGGGTTTGGGTATTTAATAATAATAATAATAATAATAATAATAATTATTATTATTATAATAATAATAATAATAATAATAATAATAATAATAATAATAATAATAATTGCAGAGAAAAATAATTTTGAATTTTAAATTCTTAAAATTAAAATAATTTAATAATAATATTTTTTCAAATATAATTTAATTATAGTTAAATAAACTAAAATAATTAACTTATGCCCTAGAAAAAGTATAGATGTTGATTTAAATTTTATAATCATTTACCAATAAGAGTTTATATATTTTGTTATATTTGTAACTTAAAATAATACAATACACTCATACCTTTAAATGTCATTTTACATGCAATAAGCTAACACTAATCAGCTAATTTACCAAACATTTTTATATAACCAGCTAATACAATCAGTTAGTCAAACCAACTAACACAATCAGCTATTAGCTATCAGCTACCAGCTATCAACCATTTGTCAAACACCCTCATTGTATATAATAGTAAGTCTATGGTGTTAATAGTGAATTTACTTATTTACTTAATTATTTTTAACAAAACTGAATTTCCATGATTATATTATTACCGTATGAGATTTGTAAGCTTTTTCATATATTATTTCTTCGATAGATGGGAGTTTAGTCAAGTCGTCAATAACGAGTAATAATCATATAGCATCATCAATTGGCAGATCAAATATTTCTCATGTAACTAATGATACAATTGGTAAGTTATTATTGCTAATAGCATAGAGTTGTTATAATTGCAATTAATTTTATAGCAAATCTTTTTAAAATTTTGGGTCACCAAATTTTTAATAAATTTTTGTTTTATCAAATTTTTTATTGACAATGTAGGGAACGACAGAATTTTAAAGAAAAGGTCTTTTCATACATCCATGGGGAATGATGTCCAGTCTCAATTGCCATTGTACTCAACTATACCGCTTAGTGATATTACGAATTGTATGTATTAAAAATTTTAACGATCTTTATAAATATATAACATTTTTCTTTGTTTTTTTTATTGGTAACTGTTTTATATCATTTTTTTTTTCAAATTTAAAGGTGGTTCAAACGGCATGACAAGAAATCAAGTACATACACGGTCTAATCAAATTATTCTATACAACACTACTAGCATTGCTGCGACTGGAAATAATCAAATATGTATATTAGTATATACACAATTACATTTTTTTTTTGAATATACACAATTACATAATTCTTAATATATATTTCTAAGTACCTTCAATATTCATATAAGCATTTTAATATATTCTCATTTTAAAAACAGCTGAAAAAGATCACTATTGCAAAAAGAATGGTTCAAGTTTGACAATGGATTTAGCTCATGAAACATGTACAGAACCCATGTTCATTCCGAGGAATTTGTCTCAAGATTTCGAAAATGTTTCCCAGCCAAATGGAATGGAAGAGAGTTGTACTCCTGGTCAGGCTTAAACATTTTAATTTGATTAACTGTATAGACAATTTTTAGAAATATGAAATTATTCTAAACCGATTGGATAATAAATCAATTTTTTTTTCTTTTGATTTTTTTGTAGTCGAATATTCAGATTTAGGCGATCCAGATTACAAGTGTGATCATTGCAATGCAATTTTCTGGCATGAAGAGAGGGTTAACAAATCGGTTGTTAGCAAATCGCCGATATATTTAGTATGTTGTGGTCATGGCAAGATAAAGTTACCGTTAATGATAGTACCTCCAAAAAAATTACATGGCCTTTTATTTCTTCCGGGTGACAAGAGGACAAGTTTCTTAGAACACATTAGGACATATAATAGTATGTTTTGTTTTACTTCAATGGGTGGTAAAGTTGATAAGTCTATCAACTGTGGAAATGCCCCACCAATTTTCAGGATAAATGGTCAAAATTTTCATCTAATTGGAAGCTTATTACCCTTAGATGGTAATCAACCAAAATTTGCCCAGCTTTACATACATGATACTCAAAACGAGGTCAACAATCGCGTCAACAAATTCAGGTGGTGTGTCAAAAATAATTTACACTTAGCTACTAAACAATTTTATGTGAAAAATTGTAATATTAATTGAATAAAGTATACATGTTTAAACGTTTTTGTAGTAATGACGAGGGGAGATACAGAATTCATGAAGGGGTTGTTGCAGACATAAAAGAAGTATTAGATGAGCATAATGTGTTAGTTAAACCATTTCGTATGGCTAAGGGAGAGATTGAGGCTAACCCCCGAGTCAAAGTCAAGATGAGGCTTATTGGCAAAAGAAGTACTGATGCAAGAACATATAACTTACCAACAGTTTCTGAAGTTGCAGCTCTAATAGTGGGTGATTTAGATCCAATGTTAGGTCAAAGAGATATTTTGGTTGAGTCTAAATGTGGAGAATTGAAGAGTATAAGTGAGCTAAATCCATCTTATCTACCCTTACAATATCCGATTTTGTTCCCATACGGTGAGGATGGTTATCGTGAAGATATACAATTCACGGTAACAACTTCAAGCTCTACAATGGGAAGGCAACGAATATCACAAAGAGAGTTTTTCGCTTTCCGTATACATGAGATGATAGAGGAGGTCAACACACTCCTGTTTTCCAAGAGACTACTACAACAGTTTCTGGTAGATGCGTACACAATGGTGGAATCCAGTAGACTAACTTACATCCGGCAAAATCAAAAGTCGTTGAGGTGTGAAGCATACAAAGGGTTGACAGATGCTTTGACACGTGGTGAAGTGGACCCTACCACTCAAGGTAGGCGAATTGTGCTACCATCAAGTTTCACTGGGGGGGCTAGATACATGATACAAAATTATCAAGATGCCATGGCTATTTGTCAGTGGATTGGTTACCCAAATTCGTTTATTACATTTACATGTAATCCCAAGTGGCCAGAGATACAACGCTATATCAAGAAACGGTGTTTGAATGCTGAGGATAGACCCGACATAGTTTGTCGAATTTTTAAAATGAAGTTGGATTCCCTTATTAAGGAAATAAGGATGGGACAATTATTTGGGGAGGTGAATTCAGGTTTGTAACTAATAATATCATGCTTTCAGTTTGGACATATTACATTTTATAATGAGATGGTTATATAATTTTTTTTTCAGTTATATATACAATTGAATTTCAAAAGAGAGGGTTGCCTCATGCTCATATTTTACTATTCTTGGCAAGACAACGGGCTGAATTATCCACTTCTTACATGGACAGTATTATATCAGCAGAGATTCCCAACAAAGATCAAGATATAAATTACTTTAATGTAGTTGGGGAATTTATGATTCATGGTCCATGTGGTAATGCAAATAAGAAGTCTCCATGCATGGTCAACGGAAAGTGTTCAAAGCATTTTCCCAAAAAAATTGTAGATTGTTCGATCTTAGATGAGGATGGTTACCCAAAGTATATGAGATGTGATGATGGTCGAATAGTATTGAAGAATGGTACGCAATTGGACAATCAATATGTAGTCCCCCATAATAGGTACCTTCTTTTGAAATACAATGCACACATAAATGTTGAGTGGTGTAACCAATCAAGGTCTATCAAGTATCTTTTCAAGTATGTCAACTAGGGTAATGATAGGGTGACTGCTGAGTTTTATAAAAGTACAGTGGATGAACATTCTGCTGAGGTTATAGATGAGATTGACAAGTGCTATGACTGTCGTTACGTGTCTGCATGCGAGGCCACATGGCGACTTCTCAGCTTTGACGTCCAATTTAGAGCACCAGCTGTGGAAAGTAGGGGTGTTCATTCGGTTAACCGTTCGGTTAACCGAACCGTTTTAACCGAACCGAATTAACCGAACTTTTTTTTGCTTTAACCGTTAACCGAACCGAAATTTACTCTACCGAATTGACCGAACCGAACTTTTTTCGGTTAATCGGTCGGTTAACCGATTAACCGAAATTTTTAACCCTAAAATTTAAAATCCATAAAATAATTCCTAAAATAATAATTCCAATTAAAATAAAATACATATCATAATAAATTCATATTATTATGTATTCTATTTGACATTTTGACTATTTTTTATTTTAGTAATTATATATTTAATATTTAATATATTATATATTATATATATATTCTAAAATTCGGTTAACCGTTCGGTTAATTCGGTTAACCGACACTTTCGAACCGAATTAACCGTTAACCGAATTTTAGGAAAACCTTTAACCATTAACCGAACCGAAATATTTCGGTTCGAAAACGGTTAACCGAATTTCGTCGGTTCGGTCGGTTAACCGAAATTTCTCCAAAATTTGCACACCCCTAGTGGAAAGATTAAGTTTTCATTTGCCAGACTGTCAATATGTGATATTTGATGACGATGATAGTATTGAACGCGTGCTAAGTCGTCTTACAGTAGCCCAGAGTATGTTTACTGCATGGTTTGAAACTAACAAGAAATACCAAGATGCAAGACTTTTAACATACATTGAGATGCCAAATAAGTTTGTGTGGAAAAGAAATGTTCGCGAATGACATCCAAGGAAAAGGGGTTACTCTGTTGGTCGTATATTTTATGTACCACCAGGCAGTGGTGAAATATATTACTTAAGGTGTCTGTTGAACATAGTACGTGGTCCAATAAGTTTTGAAGAGATCAAGACTTTTAACGGTGTAACTCACTTAATGTTCAAGGATGCATGTTACGCCCGCGGCTTGCTAGATGATGACAAGGAATACATTGATGCAATCAATGAGGCTAGCCATTGGTCGTCTGGACACTCATTAAGAAAACTTTTTGTCATACTGCTAACATCAAATTCAATGTCGAGGCCAGAATCAGTTTGGAATGTTACATGGAAACTACTTTCTGAAGATGTTGAATTTCACCATCGAAGAGTTGCTGGAAATCCCGGTTTGTTATAATTTATGTTTTAATATATATTTTCATTATGAAACATAGGTTTACTATAATTGTCTAACATTAATAATCATGATTACAGAGTTGATGTTGCCGGAGGAATCGAAAAAAAAATTATGCTTTGATGGAAATTGAGAAATTGTTACAAGCGTATAATAAGTCTTTAAAAGACTTCCCACCCATGCCATTACCAAATTTAGCTGATAGGTCATTACTTATTAATAGATTGCTGTTGGAGGAATTGTCTTATGATCGTGAAGCTCTGTTTAAGGAGAGTGAGATGTTAACTTCCAAATTCACAGATGAACAAAGAGTTGTATATGACACTATAATTGCAGATGTTCAAATAAGTAATGGTGGTTTATTCTTCGTATATGGTTATGGTGGTACTGGAAAAACCTTTATGTGGAAGGCGTTATCAGCATCGTTGCGTTCTAAAGGTGGTGTTGTCATTAATGTTGCTTCAAGTGGTATCGCTTCCTTGCTTTTACCCGGTGGTAGGACTGCACATTCACGATTTTCAATACCCATATCAGTGAATGAGGATTCAACATGTAACATCAAACATGGTAGTCACCTTGCTGAGTTGGTTATAAAGGCAAAGCTAATAATATGGGATGTGGCTCCTATGATGCACAAGCATTGTTTTGAAGCTTTGGATAGGACAATGAGAGACTTGCTTAGATTCAACAATCCTTTAAGTGCTGAGAAAACATTTGGTGGAAAAACAGTAGTATTTGGTGGAGACTTTAGACAAATATTGCCTGTGATTCCAAAAGGCACAAGGCAAGATATTGTTGGGGCGACTATAAATTCCTCATATTTATGGAATAATTGTAGAGTTTTGCGATTGACAAAGAATCTTCGTTTGAATAGTATTGAACCTTGCGTTGACTAAGCTAAAATTGAGGAGTTTGCTAATTGGATTTCTTTGATTGGTGATGGGACAATTGGTGGCCCAAATGATGGTTTTGCAGAGTTTGAGATTCCAAATGGATTGATACTACCATGTGGCGGTGACCCTATTAAAACCATTGTTGATATAATTTTTCCAGATTTTTTAAATGGTAGATGCGACCACGATTACATGCAAAGTCGTGCGATATTAGCACCAATACTAGATGTTGTAAACTCCATAAATGAGTATATGACTGAATTGCATACTGCAAAGAGTAAGACATACTTCAGTTGTGATAGTGTTTGTAAGTCAGACTCAGCAAGCGGTATTCTTGGAGAAGTCCACACTCCAGAGTTTCTTAATGGGTTGCGTGCATCTGGAATTCCAAACCATGCATTAACATTGAAAGTTGGATCACCGGTAATGTTGTTGCGCAATATAGATCACTCATTGGGTTTATGTAATGGTACGAGATTGGTTATTATAAGATTGTCCGAGCATGTTATTGGGGCTAAAATAATGACCGGTGACAATGCCGGGAGTTCGGTGTTGATACCAAGAATGTCTATGTCTCCATCAGATACAAGATTGCCTTTCAAATTTCAAAGGAGACAGTTCCCATTAATGTTGTCATATGCAATGACAATAAATAAAAGTCAAGGTCAAACACTATCTCATGTTGGGTTGCTCTTGAAGAAACCAGTGTTTGTACATGGTCAATTGTATCTTGCTGCGTCTAGAGTTAGCAATCCTAAGGGTCTAAAGATTCTAATTTGTAATGAGCTTAACAAGAGTTGTATTTCAACAACTAATATTGTGTACCATGAAGTTTTCAATAATTTGTAAATAAATTACCAATTTGCAATTTAGTCATTTTCTTATGTGTCAATGCAATATACTTGACAAACTGTTTAACATTTAATGTGTATTTTATTACATAACATATTGCACAGTCATTTAGTTTATTACAATAACAATATCTAAAATTAAAATATAATTTATTGATCGTGCATTGCACGGGTACCATGCTAGTATATATGTATAACAATTGAAACATATTTTAATCAATAAACACCAGCTACCGAGAATATTTTTGCACTCCAACAACGATATGATTTGCAAAGGAAGGAGATTGCAAGAGATTGATAGAGTTTACCAGAGACATGGAGAAGACAGCAAGAAGTTCAATCGTCGAACTTGATTCACCGGGCGCACTCAAGTGGTTGCGGAAACTATAAGCCTAATTTACCCTTATCGGTGGAAGAAAGACCTGCCAGAATAGGAAGAAGAAACCATTATACAAAGAAAGAGGATTGCGCTATTTTGGATCGATTATTAGGTTCAACGGGCCAAAACGGGTGTTTTCAGTCGGCCAACTATCAAAGCGCTATAAGTTTTGGGCTGGAAGTCTAAATTGGGTTTAATGATATCTCATGTGCCAGTCACTATATCCTGGATCAATATCTACTTTATATTGTGATAATTGATATACAGTGGGTCATAATCCACACAGCTGTATGAAGTATGAAGTATGGTCCAAAAATAATGTCACTTTTTTAGTAAAGAAATGACGATCGTTATTTGTAACAAATCCCGTATATATGATGTGCTCGTAATAAAATGAAACTACAGTATATCTAAAATGAAACTGAATAAGATGTCTCACATATTGAGTGTATATTATTAAATGAAATTGTAGTTTAATTGAAGTGATACTTTACTTGTGCTAAAATGAAACTGCATTATGTATAAAATGAAATTAAATAACATATTTCACATATAGAGTGTATATCCAAGGGTAATAAGCTTCCAATTACCCTTAAAATTTTGACCATCTAAGGGTAAATTTTGACCATCTAAGAGTATATTGATGGAGCAATATATAATATATTTTAAAATGATTACTAGTTATGCCAAGTTATTAATGTTTCTGAAGAAAGTTCCAGTTCAATAATGTCATGGTTTACTCTGATTTTGCAATTTCTATTTTCTCATTCTAGCTTTTTCAGTTATCAAGTCATCATACTGCTAATTCTGCTGTACAAAGAACAACCACTTACCCCAAAAGGATGGATTACTTGACTCTGATCTCTCCATGATTGAATGAAAAGAACCAAATTTCAAATTCATTGTTATGCTTGACATCACTTTCACAAATGCCCCTTCTGGTTTAGAAGAACTCTTTATGCTACAATCTAAAAAATGTATTTGAAAATTATGTTCATTCTTGTGTGCTGCTTGAGAATGCTCCATTGTTATCAGAACTGCACCCATTTCTCATCTACACAATAATGGCACACTCGGATCGTGGCTGTAAATTTCCCTCGTCAACCAAAAAAAAAAAAAAATAATAATAATAATAATGGCACCCCAAAGTATCTGAAATGTATCCCCCATACTTCACTTTTCTTATTATTCTTACATTCTCAACAATTTCTTTTCAGACCAAAAGCTCCAAGTCCAATGAGGCAAGAGAAAAGTGAAAGGTCACCCCAGACCAACTCTCACCTATCTAAGAGCATCTACATCAGTAGATAATATGGGGAGATTACAGTATTAATTCACCCACATCAAATTTATAGCTAATGTAGGGGAGAATAAACTTGGGGAGAATTCTCCGGCAAAATTGGGGATAATGGCAGAAAAAGAAGAAAAAGAAAAAAAACAAAACATGGGCTGCTGTGCGCGTTTTGCGCACAGCAGCCAGCCAACACGGGAGCGTCAGGCGCGCCTGACTCTTCTGTTTTTTTTTTTGTTTTGTTTTGTTTTTATTTTGGTTTTTTTGTTTTTTTTTTCTTCTCTTCCCACATTCTCTCTCCTAATCACTCTTACATTATCCCCCAATTCTCCCCAACCATTGTGGATGCTCTAATAGGGTAATGTTGATATTTACTCCTTTTTTTTAACCATTCATATCTCTTCTCCCAAAAGGTTGAATCCCCAACCCCAAGGGCACCCACACCCAATCACGGTGACTCAATGGCTCAACAGACATGGCCAAATATCGTGATTTGCCCACTTTGAACTCTATGTTCATAATCATAAAACTCTATGTTTATAATTTTTGTGTAAGATTTTCCCTAATAATATATATTATATATTAAGGTCTTAATTAAGTGGTGCAAGTTGACTAGGTTTATTAAGTAGTTTGGTTAGACTTAATTATTAGAAATTGTTAGTCAATCAGACTTTGTGCCTAATATAAACCTGAATTGATGGGAAACAGGATTATTGATTAGATAACACATTATGGATTTATGGCTAACGGTCTACCAAGAGGTAACACAACAAGAACATCAACTGTGGCTGGAGATCAACACGGCTACCGCTTCCACTCATACGATACTATTATTCGGTATAGTTAGATTATTTATATTTAACATTTTGAACTTCATATTCACAATTATTGAACTCTATGTTCATAATTACTGAACTCTATGTTCATAATTTTTGAACTTCATATTCACATTTATTGAACTCTATATTCATAATTACATAAGTCTATGTTCATAATTATAGAACTTTATGTTAATAATTATAGAATTCTATGTTCATTATTTTTAACTTTATATTCACAATTATGAACAATTTTGGAACCGTGTCTACCTTGCAAGGTAGACACGGTTCCACAACATAATTTGCCCTCGGTGGATCGACAAACTGAACATAATTCCCACATTATTGCTGTCAAATTTTAAACATTGATCTCTTCTCTCAGATACTGTTTACTGATCCATTGAATTAAGCTCATACAAGCTTAAAACAATCGTTATGCTCTGGACCCGTGTCCAACATGCATGCTGGACACGGGTAACAGTGTCGTTAGGCACTGTTATCTTTCTTTCCTTTTTGTTTTTTTTTTTTTTTAAATTTCAGATTCGTTATAGGAGTATATGTTCATAATTTTATTACTATATGTTCATAATTGTAAGTTCATAGTGTCAGAGCTCTATGTTTTTCAATAACTGTACATTTATACTTCTATAACTGTACATTCATAATTCCGTAACTGTACATTCATAATTCAATAATTGTAACTTCATAATTTTCGAAGCTCTATGTTCACAATTTTAGAGCTCTATGTTCATAATTTTATCACTATATGTTCATATTGTAAGTTCATAATGTCAGAGCTCTGTGTTCATAATTCCATAACTGTATATTCATAATTGCATAACTGTACATTCATAATTGCATAACTGTACATTCATAATTCCATAACTGTACATTCATAATTCAATAATTGTAAAATCATAGTTTTCGAAGCTCCATGTTCACAATTTTAGAGCTCTGTTCATAATTTTATCACTATATGTTCATAATTGTAAGTTAATAATGTCAGAATTCTGTGTTTATAATTTTATAACTTACATTCACAATGTCATAACTGTACATTCATAATGTCATAACTATACATTCATAATCCCATAACTGTACATTCATAATGACACAAACGAATAACGCCGTTAACGGCGATACAAAATCAAAATTTTTAACTGAAATGACGCGTTTTTCTTAAAAATGACGTCGTTTTGGACTTGTGTCCATAATGCATTGTGGACACGGGTCCAGGGCATAATTTGCCAGCTTAATATAGTCTTGTGCCAATGCCTTACTGCTAGCTTAGAGCTTCATAATTTAAATGGCTCTCGCAAACTTTTTTTCGTAAAGCTTTCATTACATATAATCACAACATTCGAGATTAGAAACACATGCAATTTAGCTAAGCTAGGAATGAATATTCGAATGTTTGTACTATATTTAAAAGGGTTACGTTAAAGAAATATATGTTTAATATATCGAATTGAATAATCACAATATCAGAAATTATCATCACCTATCGAACTAAAAAATAATACCTCTAGATGTCCAACTTAAATAAAAACGTGCATTCTTCATCAACTCTATATATCAGTAACTTTTTCAATCCCTTAATTTTCTACTATATCATTTTTGGAGTTGATAATTTCTATATTTTATAGAGTTAATGGTTTTCATAAGTTTCAATACCAAAATCAACATTTTTCTAATATAATATTAATATTATTTGATAGGGATATGGGACTCGAGGTCCATTTTATTAAATAAGTCTTGGTCCGAGGAGGTGAAGAAGGAAACATGTAGTAAAATGTTAAAAGATTTATTACCAAATGGTATCAAACCCACGACTTCAAACATAATAACACAAGTTCTAAACCACCAAGCTACCGCACATCCTATATATTATAAGGTAGGATGCTCTATTTACCCGTGTGAATATCGATGACATCAAGTAGTGAGGGACACGTCTATGGCTATGAATGAAAGCAATCTGGTGTCGTGCATTTGTCGAGCATCTGGGGGGCCTCTAATCTAGACTATAAATAGGCACCCTTTCCTCCCTTAATTCCCAAGTCCAATGGTATAGATTCCTAACCTTCAACTCGTACACCAGGTTTGATTCCTAGTAGCTACCATTTATTAAGCTAAGCTATAGCTTTTATTATTTGGGCCGTCGTTTTAGACTAGTAGGTATTAAGTTACTATTTTCTTACCATCGTTTTGTCATTTCTATACCCGGTTATGGTGAACCGGTTCTAACAAAACCATCATTATTAAACTATGAGTAGAACTATACATATATTAGTTGGAGTTTTATAGAATAGCTTGAATGTTAATTACTTGATGTTATATAGTTTTTTATTTAAAAATAATAATAAATCATTTTATATATCAATAATTAATGATATTCAACTCAAAAAATGATAGTAATTCAAAATTCTATAAAGAATATTCCAAAGATGTTAGACAAACAACAAGATTCCAAACTTAAAAATACTAACAGCAAAAACTACAAAATTTTCAATTACATACAAAACACAACAGAGGAATTAAAACTATGTTACTGCCATATTCTAGTACTTACAATATAATCTTGCTTTGCAATAACTTGAGGTTTCTTCAATTTAATTGTTTCATATAGTTCACCGCCATCTAATATTCTAATCGATCTTCAATCTAAATCCTTTGCATAGTGCAATCATCAATATCCTTACATTTTTTTTTTTGAATACTACTAACTCTATTAGAGTGCAGTATCTGAAGAGTCAATATCGCATCCATTGAGGTTCGATCCCACAACTTCCTTTATAAGGGAGCAACTCGGTGTCATTGGACTACAAAGTCCTTGGCACATCCTTACACTTTAATACGTACGATTTAAGTGTTATTACTATAACATGTAGAAGAAACATCTTAGCTTATAGAAACATGCATATTCAAAGTAATTTTGACATG